ATCTCCCAGCGACATAAGAGCTTTGACGTTATCGTGCCCAATCTGGAGGAATTCCCACCCTTTGTGGGTTGCAACAGTTGGCCGCTAAAACTCAATGCGAGAGGTGATTCGATTCAAAATCGATCAACAGAAGATTTCAGAGACAACGGAGTACATGTATAGTGTAAACGTATGCTGTTTCGACATATCTTTGTTTAAGAAGCTTTGCAGTAGGCATTGTTAACCCATTAACACTTTCAGAGCAAAAAAAAAAAAAAATGAAACTTCCCTTACAGTATTTTTTTTCCGGATTTTTTAGAATCAGGGCTGTCTGTCAAGGTGGTCCTTAACTTATGTTGAAGTCTATAGTCGTGTTTTTGCAGCTTACCGTACAGATTAAGCATAACTGGTGATTGAAAATAAATTTCCAAGAGGCTTAGGGCTTGGGGCTGCTCTGGTATTGTTTACAAACAATGAACTTAAAAAGTTTTCTTGTGTCTGCCTTTTATGAAAAGATTCCGTATTTCTTTCCATTGTGCCTGGATACGCCCACAAGGTTTCTTGGTTACTGCATTTATCTTTAGTTCGGTGTATTTCTACTCCAGATGCTTCAGGGCAAGGGCTAATAATAATATATCATTGTATATTTTGTGTGAGTAGGAATTTTATCTTTTAAATTAATCGGAAAGAATGGAACGCCCCACTCCAAAAAAAAAAAACGGACAAAAAACAACAACAATAACAAAACAAAACAAATAAAAATGATCCCCAACAAAGCAAAACAAAGACTGCAGCAGCAGCAACAACAACAACAACAACAACAGCAACAACAACATCATCATCAACAACAATAACAACAAAAACAGCAGCAGCAACAACAACAACAACAACAACAACAACAACAACAACAACAACAACAACAACAGCAACAACTCAACTTAAAATGTGGATTCCACAGAACTCTAGTTAATTAAGGAAAATACAAAAGTACAAAATACAAAATATCTGGTCTAGCTGTATTCCCTTACACCAGCCGATGACATCAAGGTCGCTTTTCCCCTGCTGCAACCTTTACCTCAGCTCAGAGCACAATTATACATGAATAGATGGCTGTCTACCACATGCAGCCTATAGGTCGAAAAAACAAATAACATTATTATTACAAAACGTATGTCACTGCGCTCATATGACCTTATGCAGTTGCGAGCGCCGTAAAACCTTATTAAAACAAACAAACCAGATGTCAACACAAGGAATGTTCAGACGAGTGGGCATACATACAGTCTCGGGAAATCTCTGAATGATAATAATGATAATTAATTCTGTTTATTACCACGACAAAGAACCCCCCCCCCAACCCAACAGCATCGAGACAACAACAGCATGAACAATTACAACGGTAACAACGACAAAACAACAGCAGTCACAGAAAAAAGAGAAAACAGCGACAACAACACCCTCCCCCCTTTCTTTTTCCCCCCAGAAACTGTGTGGCAATCTAGTGAACGCAAACCGAAACTAATAACATGACCTCACCCCCCCTCTCAAAACAAAACAAAACAACAACAAACACAAAACAACAACAACAACAAACAAAAAACCCAACAAACAACTAAAACAAACAAACAAACAAACAAACTACAAAATAACAAAGAAAACAAACAACCAAACCAAACAACAAACAACAAACAAAAAACCCCTCACACAACACAAAAACAAAACAAAATAAAACTAACAACAACAACAAAGCATCCCCTCCCCACCCCCCTCAATAATAATAATAATAATAAAATAAACCAAACAAAAAATATTTTTAAACCAATCAACCCGAAACAATCCAACAGATAGATAAATTAATAAACAGACAAATAACTAAATGAACAAATAATACATAAATAGATAGATAAATAGATAAATAAGTAAATAAATTAAAATAAATAAATAAATAAATACATTAATAAATTTAAAAC